AAAATGAAAATGTATGCCCCTGAGTTTGTTGTATATTGTGTGTGTGTGTGTGTGTGTGTGTGTGTGTGTGTGTGTGTGTGTGTGTGTGTATTTTAAATAAAGTTATGTCACTTCCACCTTGGGTGATAATGCTTCACCAACAGTCATAGACTATCTAACAAACAATTATCCCAGTGCCAGAGCCAACAAGAGGTGGCCCAGCAGTTAAGAGCACTGGTGCTCTTGCAGATGACTGAGGTTTATTCTCAGCATCCATATGTGGCTCACAATGGTCTGTACCCCCAGTTCTAGGGATCTGGCACTGCCTTCAAGCCCATCCCCCTCAGGCATGGCATGTAGTGGTACACTCACATACATACACACAGGCAAAACACTTAGACACATAAAATAAAAATAATTCTAAAAAAGAAAAAAGCCTTGATTGGGGAACCTTCTTTTAAGTTAATAGTCTGTGAAGTACAAGAGACCCCCAAACAATATAGGCTCCTGCCATTGCCCTTGGTTGCTTCCCAAAAATCAAAGTTACTGCCCCATTGTTAAATGCACTACATACTTAGACACTTATGACAAAGGAGTGGAAGAATTGAGCTGGATTTGAATTAGAAGTCTCTTCCCTAAGGACTAGCTCTCATCATATTGGAAGGAGGCAGGAGAGCTGCCAAGGAAGAAAGGCAACCAACAGTTCTGCCCAGCTGTAATGCTTACAAAGTACAATGACCAGAACAATAAGATGTCCCTAAAGGTGACATTTGTATCAGACTATGTAATTGAAATGGATGACCACACAAAAGGAGGACCTCCTGTCTTCTAGGGTAAATTGATTCCACTACTGGTGGCTGATGAGATGCCGTAGACCCTGAATGAGGTCTATTGCAAAAGTTCTAACTGCATTCAGAATACCCAACCTTATGCCCACAGATAAGTGTAGCTGACATACCTTATCAGAGAAATTTGTTTTTGTAACAGATGGACACTGTTACAGGTATACATACGTGTTCAAATGCAGAAAACAACTGACCATGGGGTGACCAACCATCATTGATGCAAAACAACTCCTATACCTAAGGTTCATTGATGATGATGGAGAGGGACCAGAGAGATTGTAAGAGCCAGAGGACCAGGATGTCTCCTGTAATAGTGTCTTGTATATATTATAGAGAAGCACCCAAGAAATGATCAATATGATGAGCTAAACAAGACCAGCACAGTGCCAGTCCTGATTGCCACCCCAGTGTGGATGGGGAAATATCACAAGGCCTCATCCCTAAAGGAAAAGCTACAGACAATTCCTGACTGCTAAGAGAGAGAGAATCAGTCTCCAGGGATGAGACAACCCCTAATATATTATCCAATCCCAAGAGATCAGCCCTCAACACATGGACATAGTAATAGTAAAGGGACTTAGCAGGCTGTACTTAAATATTTGTGTGTATATAAATAAATAATAATTAAAGATTGGGGGCCATAAATTTAAGAGGGGTTGAAAGAATTGAAAGGAGAAGAGGAAGTGTGGGGGGGGGTGATATAAATACAGCACTCATATGGGAAATTTTTAAGAAATAAAAATACATTTTTCTCCAATAAATAAATTAACCCACTATTTTTAAAATTTAGCCTTACCTGAGTTCTCAGGACTGGGGAAGCATGTAGCCAAATTCTTTGCCAGAATATTGTCTGAATAGCATCTAGCCCAATGTTCTCTAGAATCTCATTCCTTTCTATACCCTCATGAGCTGGGCCGGCACCCTGTGCATTTCCTTCAACATTCTTGTTCCAAGCCCACAACAGGATGACCTATTACATTCTGCATACAGTATACAAGAAGTAAGCCCGAAGTTCCAAACCCTTCCATCTTCCTCTGCAAACTAATATTAAAGGTCTAAGATCACATGAATCATAACAATCTCACTTGTGGCAGACGGGAGTTCCAGGCACTTCAACAGATTGAATCTGTAGTCATGAAGCAGAGAGATATAAATGATGGCACTCAATTAATTTTCTTCTTTGCATTCACTCTAGGTCAAGAACACATGGGATGTCTCATCCATAGTTAAGAGTGGATCTTTCTTTGTTAATTAAATCTAGGTAACACCTCAGAGGCATTGTGTTCAAGGGTTTTCCTCCTATGGGATTCTGAGGACTGTCAAAAGAACAATCAGTATTAACTATCACAAGAGACTTTTAAAATGAAACTATGAAGCACATTATCAAACAGACAAAGGTATAAATAAAGTTTCAAAGGAAAGAAAGTCATATTTGCTAAAGAGACTGTAAGCATTTTCTGGAAGTTTCAGTGTCACCTGTGACTCACAGGCTATTAAGAGGTTTGCAAGAGGTAGGAAAGATAAGGGAACTCTTGGATGCAAGCAGATGTGTCGGTTTAGTGTGACAATGATGCGGAGAATCAGTGGGTGGGGAGAGGTTAGTTTTCTTGTTCACAACATATAGGTTTCTAGAATGGTGATAAGAAATGAGAAGTAGTGGGTTTTAGGGTAAAGATAGAATGTGAGGAAAGATGGAGACCCTGGGACTAAATTTGCAAATGAAGAGATAGTACATAAACCACAAATGCATGGAGCAATACAGAGAAATCTGGAAGAAACCAAAGAAGAACCAAATACTCGTTTCACCTACCTCATACTTTGGCTAAGGGAAGGGTCTAATTAAATCTATTTGGATGTAAGTTCTGTGTCTCCACTTGCCAGTACAGAGAGCCAAAGGCAAGTTAGGCTCCTCTCAAAGATGTGTATTTTTCCTCAAAGAATACTTGAGGAAGAGCAGTCTGAGAAATATTTGTTCATTAAATATGTGCTGGCAGCAGCCAGACTATATCAAGCCCATGATAAGCACATAATAAACTTGACTTATGAAACATTGATGGTTTGATTGTTTTGTTATTAACTGTTGTTACTAAGTGCCTATTGCTTTCTCTAGCAAATATAATCTATAACTATGCAAAAGATTTATCACTCATTATAAGATAATGGTAATCTTCATGTACAAAGCATTCATGTAGAAAATATTAACTTCTTAATTAAATTTGCCACTATAAGTGGGTCAGGTTTTTTTTGTCAAGTCACATAGTTACATACCCTTGTGATTTTTTTTTTTTTTTTTTTTTTTTTTTTTTTTTTTTTTTTTTTGCTATAAAGAGGTTAAATGCTCTCCAGTTTCTTACTTGCTTCAAAAACATCCTTATTCGGATAAGCTACATGGCACTCTTCTGAAATCTATTCCTGATACATTCCACATGTAACCACACTGCCTCTGGAAGAGAAGCCTTTCTGCTACATCAGAGAGGTTTACAGAGATGGTGAAATAGCAAACAATTGGAGTCTGTTAGAAGCCGTTTATATGTCTACCCTTAACCTATCTTGCAAGAGGGAAGGCTGCTTCCTCCAATTGAAATCCCATAATTTCTAGGTGAGGGAGTAGGCTGTTTAGAGTATCTAGTGCTTAGAGAGTGAGCACACTTAGATTAAATTCATCAGTTGTTGGCTAACTAGGCTGGTCATAAAGTCACCCTGACCTTGGCTGTCTTAACAACAGATGGGTTCGCTTACAATACAGCCACCATTCAAACTCAGCAGCTTGGTTACTCTCTGGTTACAAATGTGCCCTAGGATCACCAAACGTCATAGGTATTGATGTAGCTAGGGATAGAGTCAAAGGACCATGGATATTGAGGGGTCACCGCAGTGTGTTAGGGCCTTACTTTCTGTCACAACCCACAAGACACATGCCTGCTATTATCCCTCTTAGAACAAGCTGCCAGACTCAATCCAGCTAAGTTTATCATGGGTTTCAAAACCTAAGACGGAATGAGATCGGGATTATCACATGAGAGGTGCCGTAAGCAGGAACAAGGCCAAAGCAGCTGACTTAGGGCAGCAATACAGCAAGCAAAATCACACAGTGGATCTCTTCAGGTGGTTGTGCTGAGCTGCAGTAATGGACTTTCAGACTGAGATTATGGCAGCTTTAATATACAAAAATCACCTTTTTATACTCTGAATGGGGAGAGCTATTATGTGCAACACCTATATGTTTTTGTCATTCTATTAATTTTAATTGATGTACCCTTTTTAGTGCAATTCAAGTATCACATGCTCGTGTGTGTGCATGTGGGGGTGGTATGTGTGTGGTAAGATAGGAGGGAAGGCCCTTTGCTGCTTCGTTGTTTTGTTCCTGTGTACTGACGTGGCCTTCAGAAAGTGGCTTTTGTGTGCAGCCAGGAGACCTGGTTTCAAATGCCAGCCTGAGCATCTTCAGGCTCATTAATAATGGAGGCGTCTGACAGGGCCAGCTTCGCTTGCTTTGTTCCCCCTGTAGATGAAAGGGGACATGGATCTTTTTGTTTTGCCCAATAACAACCATCCTGACAAATTCCTGCTAGTTGACGTGAAGTCTTTAATGAGGAGCTCAAACCTTGTGCAGGCTAGCCTCGCGAGATTTCCGGGTGGAAATTTCCCTGCTACACAACACTGGCAAAATCTTGTCTACTCCCAGGTAAGATCTAAGGACATGAATACAGGTTGGGCGCTTGTTTCTTATTCACTGCATGACATTTTTCCTATTTGTGCGAAGGGGGCTTGGGGTGCGGGATACCTAGAAGCTGCTCATTCCTCCCCACCCCGTCCTATAAGCTCTGCGTAAAAGATGTGCGAATTCTCCCACCGGTTCATTCCCCTCCAATCCTCGCTTCTCTGCCTGTCTTCGTTTCAAAAGTGCGTAGCTCTCGTTTACTCCTACCCTTCATTTTAATTCGGGGGAAGAAATACTTAAACTCTGCCTGTTGCTGTGATCTATGCATAAAATAGCACATGCTTACTGCCTCTGAGAAAGCCTGAGACTTGCCTCTGCCCCTGTTAGACTCCCCTTCCTCTGATATAGAAGAGTGTAGGATACCGATACGTGACGGGGAAAGACTGACCACACTCCATCTTGGAAAGGAGTGGCTCTCAGCTTAGATGCTCCTCTTCCACAGGTGTCCGCATGGAACAGCCACAGGAGTAAAATCTTCCAATCTCATGCAGATCTCATTGCTCTTGTTTTTTCACAAAAGAATGCAGCTGATGGGTTCCATCTGCTGAGATCAACAAAGGCCCCTGCTGAGGCTCATCAAACAGGGATAATCTTGTTTTTGTTTTGAGATGTGGAGACTAATGGCGTTGGGGGTAACTCCAGGTAGCAAGAGGAAAGGGCATTTCATTTTCAAAAACGATGTGACTAACCTACAAGCGCTTGTAAGTCCTTAAATCCTTTGGAGTATTCAAATTCCCTGGACAGAAATGGGTTTGTTTTAAAAACAAGCAGTTGCTACTCGTGAGTCCTGGTGTATATAAATAAGGACTACTTGGTGGTGTGTCTGTGGGGTCCTTGGAACATATATCGAGAGTTCATTCAGAGTCAAATGATTATGTAAATTGTCTCTACTTTGTAAAGGGTTCAGTTTATTTCCATTATAATCAAGCTCTTTGTAACAACTGGAACTTGTTGCTTTTATTTTTTAATTTTGCCTGCAACATTTGTAATCCTCAAAGCCTTGTGGCTTTCCATAGACACCCACTTATCACTGTTTTTGTGTTTTGCTTGGTTAAATGAAATAAAGTTCTTCCTTTTTATGTCACAGAACAGAAGACTTAGAATTATTTCAGAAAATCTTGCCCCTCCTCCACTTTCCTCTCGGTGGGGTCCATTGTAAGGACACATAGCCAATAGATTTTTTTCTGGGCTGCGACACAGCAATCTTCTAGCATCTTTTGTTTGGTGCTGTGGTTGTTCTACTGCCTCCTTGTGGAATTTCACAACTAAAACTCAAAACCTGAGGAAATGCAAATACCTAACAGGCAATTTTTTATGCAGGCCCTTTTAGGTCTAAATAATTATTCAAAGATCAAGGAGGTATCTGCATATGTATCCTTGATAAACCTCAAATAAATTATCTTTCTTATCCTAAAATGACAAGTAACTTAGTGAAGGCTAATTTACTACTGAGGTCATGGATAGAGGGAAGCAATAGCAGACAAGTGTGAATTCAGGAAATTAGGTAGACGTGCTTCAAACTATGAGTAAGGACATCTGGTCTTCACAGTTACCACTCAGCTGCCCGAGTGGATCTAAAAATCAAGACTGACGTGCTTACCGAGTAAAAAGTAGATCAATATGAAGAAATAGGAACATAAAATTTTGAAATATTTGGAACGATGCTTAAAAACATTTATCCATATACCAAGAAGATTGAATGGGGTGTTACGCATGTCTGAAGAGGGAGCTGTCAAATATTTCTTAATTAAATTCCTCACGTGGGTTAAGCAAATAAAGAGATTATGTAAACACAGTTGTCATGTATGGAATTCTCATAAAGATTTTTAATTAAAAATTTAGTTGCTATTCACAGGAAGAAAATTTGAGATTCAGTATGATCTCCTGAAAGATTAACACACCTCTCACTTTGTTTTTTTAAGAAATGAGAACAAATAATGTATAAGGAAAAGTCTGTAGGGTCTGATTTCCTGTAAGAGTGTAAGAAGTAGAAATAGAAGTTGAGAGACAGAGTACCTCCCTGACACCAGGAAGGCCCTGGTTCTTATCCTGAGCACTGTAGAACCAACCATGTGTAGTCTACACCTGTAATCCCAGCACTCATAGGCAGGCTCAAAGGCATCAGGAATTCAGGGTTCAGTTATATAAAGAGAAGAAGGCCAGCCTGGGCTTCCTGCAATTTCGTCTCCATTTGGGGTTTTTGTTGCTGTTATGTTTTTATTTTAAAAGGGAAAAAATAGTGTCGAGTTTGGAAAACAAAATATTGTTATTTTCATGATGTTTGGTTTGGTTTTAAGGGAGGATTTCATGTAGCCTAGGCTAATCTCAAACTCAGTCTCTGGCCAAACCTGTGATGTCATCCTTCTAAATGCTCTGAGGATTGAAATTGCAGATATGTGCCATTGAAGCTCTGGATATCAAATCCAAGGTTAATACATGCTAGGCAAACATTCTATTCTTGTGTGAGCAAACACACACACACACACACACACACACACACACACACACACACACACACACACAGTTTTTTTTTTTTAATTAAGTGATAAAATGTTTAACGATGTCGTATTGGGAATTAGTTTTACTGGTGAGCAGCTGAACTTCTGAGTCTATTCAAGTGAGTTTTGTCTATTCCTGACTCCTTTCACGTTGGTTTCAGAACGCTGGGGCTTTTCAGAGGAAATCTGTGAGCTGGAGTGAAAAGCCAGTGGTGAGAACAGACATCCTTATTTCTAGACAAATTCATTCACTGGTTTCATGTCCTAACCTACATTCTTCACTGCTTTTCTGTCCCACACCACTGTTTTCCTTCAATGTCAACACTCCATATGTGTCTCTGTGTGTGTTCATTTATGTGCATGCATGTGTATATATGCTTGTATGTATGCGGGGGTTTATTCTATGTGTATGTGTATCGCTGTGTCATCATTTAAAACATTTCCATTGTTTTTTATCTAACATGTAGTCTAAATGATTACAGAATTTATATTTGGGATCTGTTTTTTATATATTTTGATCTGTTTCTAGATTATTAACTTAGTTGTGTACTTTCCATTAAAATCTATCACACTATCAATGTTTTGAAATATTCACAAAATGAAGTATTTCCAACTGTTGATGTCAATTGATTGGATTTGCTAATTTTGTTGTGCAAATTGTCTTTCTCTTTGGGAATTTTTTGTATGGATATATGTAATTTTAATGATTACTTTAAATTTTATTGTTACCATAATTTTATATCATATATAAAATTTTATAGTTATTTTAGTTTGCTGATGATACTACTTTTATTCAAAACTTTGTAGCTATCAAAGCTTCTTGCCCTAAGTCTATTTTGTTTGATATATTATATTGTGATATTATATCATATCATATTATATTATATTTTTGTGGTGTTTTGATATGTTATGTTGTAGAAACAAACATACCCAAATTTCA